ATTAAAAATAAAAAAATTTATTTGATATACTTGAATTACCTTCATCAAAATGTCTTCTATCTTCATTGCTTTTTGCTTTGTTAAAACTATCAGTGGAAATAACAAATTCATAAATAAAACTGCCCTCTATCATATTAATGATAAAGATAATGAATTTAGAGAACTCACCTACAAAGGCTTTACTGGCAATATTGACTCTCTAATAATTAATTTTGAAAAAAACTCTATTGTACAAATGATCAGAAGATACATTTATCAGGAAAATGTTGAATATATATATTTACTTCTCTTGAATATTTGAACTGCTATCAATAAAAATCAAATACATTCATATTTTAAAAAAGATTAATGCCGTAACTTCATTACTCCTATCTCAATGAATTTCTAAGCTATTCTATTAAATTATGAAAATAGCTTCAAATTCAATAACATATAAATATTAAAACTTAAGACATTGATTTTTTTTAAAATGTCAATCTCATTGATTTCTATTGACAGAAACACATTATCTTCACTTTACTATTCAAATCTAACTCTACTTCTTTTTAAAAGCTTAGTCTTATTCAAACTATATCAATTTCTTCTGCCTCTAACTCTACGTGTTTCTCTGAAGATCTTCTCTATGCCTTCCTGCTATTAATCTAAATCACCCTGCTGTAACAAACTCCTATAAATTAAATGACAATATAGGAAGACAGAGTTTTATGTTATCTAAAAAGTTCTATAATCCCATAAACAGCCAGAAAGACATAGAATCAAATGTAATTGTATCTTATACAAATGCAAATGGTCGCTATGATTCACTCAAAGAAAGCCTAAAGAAAAGTGTCATTTTTGCTATTGGAAGATTAAAACTTAGTCCTAATAGTAAACTCCCACACATCATTTCATCAGAAATCGAATGGAGCTATACCACTAATGAACCAAAATCATCATCCTACTCATCTAATGTCACATCTAATAAAGAATATAATAATCAGCTTGATATGATTGAAAAACAATATACAACAATAAGCTCACAACCACCCAATAAAAGAAAAAGATACAGTTTCTTCTCTTTATCTACAAAACTTCTGAATAACACACTACAAACTGTCAACCTTGAACAACTCATGATGCAAATTCGAACAAATCAACCTAATACTCAACAAACTTATGAAGAATCTTCTGATAAAAATTAAATCAATTTATTATAAGTTTCGCAATACTTTTATTTTCTATTAAATAAAATTAATTTTATAGAAATAATTTACCTTAGTTGTAATATGTGCCCTATTCTTTCACAATAAAATTATTACTGTATATCATAAACTTGTACGCGCTCAAAATTCACCTATAATTATTTAGTAAAATAATACTCTTAACTAGTACAAATTCAAATTGTGCACAAAACTTTATGATATTTTTATTATACGTATAGTTATCTTGTAAAAGTCAATTTTTATATATAACTGTTCTAATTATTACAGATAATATTACTATTAGCAAAATTACTATTCTTAATAGATCGGCAATACCAATTTGGATAGAGTTAAAAAAAAATTTTATTTAATTACTGTTCCTAATATCATTCTAAAATTGAACCCTAATTCAAAACTTTTTCAAATATTTCACTATAGTAGTATAGTGTTTTAGAGACTTTTTTAAAACTCTATCAAGAACAGTGTATAAATCAATTTTTTTTTCTACCCTATCAAGAACAGTAACAACGATCCATCAGAAATAGCATTTTTGTATAGTATTGTCCTTTTTTCTTATTAAAGTAATAAAAAAATAACTAACAAATAATTTTCTTTTGCTATCTATAGAAATAAAATAGCTAATTCATATTAAATAAATCTTAATACTCTTGATAAATCACTTATATTATTCTTACTTTGATTATACAATGATTTGATTTTGCAATGATTTGATTAAAATATATTTAAAATTCTTATTAAAAAAAATAATAAACTTATCTGATACACAAGTAAACTTATACCGCTCGTAAACCTTATTCTTATATTCATAGCACTAATAAAAATTACACAATATTAAATTCTAAAACTAAATTAATTCATAATAATACATTATATATAAATAAGTCAAATCATTTCCCTATTTCTTTAATAAAATTTCTTTTACCTCTATCCCTATACTAAACTTGGTTACCGTTATGCCTAATTATCAAATTCAAATATTCACACTTATTACTTTTGTTTCTAATACTCAACGTGAACAAGAATCACATAATGATTCAGAAAATACAAATATATTTGTATCATACCTTTTTAGAAATGAAATAAATCAAAACTTATTAAATGTACCAACTCCTGACAATAATCGTTTGATACTAAATAGTATCTCTCTTTCATACTTTAAGAGTATTCCTATTTCTTGACAACCTGCCCTCTAAAAACTTTTAACAAAATTTCAAACTAAAATCTTACATGATTATCTCTCTATCCCGTGTGCTTATTGTTTGATGCTAATGATGCAATCCTCTACACAATGGATTCCTTATAATGATAATGAAAATTATTCTTTAACTTACGTTTTTAACATACCTGTATATACTCGTATAAATAATCGAAACAATACCCAAGTTGCAGTTTGTAATGGTTGCAAAAAACAAACAACCAAATAAAACCCACCTATATTAACATCTATTTTTTCTAAAATCTAAAATGTCCTGATAGTATTTAGAAAATACCTTTCTCCAATTCATCTAAACTGCTTATTGGGTCATATACCTGGCTCAAACTATTATACTAATTATCACCATCTAGAAGGATCTATAGGAATCACTCACAATTATAGATCTATGCAAATATACTCAGGATCAGTTGGCGCATACCTAAACAATAATGAACCACCGTTGTAGTTTCATACTTCCTTTTTTTTTTTTTTTTTGGTCTTAAGGTGACCCCTTCGGTCAAGTACTTTTATTATTGTATGGACTATTTTTACAACTAG